GGAATGTTGCTCGAGTTAAGAAAAGCGGGCAAAATCACTCGCCTTCGGCTCGTGATTTCGCTCGCTTTTCTTAACTCTCGCAACATTCCCGCGTGTTTGGATCAGGCCATCCAAACACGGAAACCATAAAGTAAATTGTATAGTAGCAAGTCATCAACCTTGTAACAATTTGATAGCAACTTGTTCCAGACTTGTCACAACAACTGGGAACAAGCAATACGAACACATCCTGATATCGGCTTGACAACAACCAGTGACAACAACTAACCTTGTTTACAACTTGTTCAGTTGCACATCTGTAACAACTTGCGCATTTTCACGTGTGTATTTTAGTATAGCCATGAAACTACACCCGCAATGTAGCTCATTATATATGCAGATTCCGATGTTTACGTCATTGTATTTTCACTTCAAAAACTCATTAATAATTCATGAAGCAATTATCCAATCTTGAGTAAGAAATTAGTCACGTGCATACGTCTTTATACCAGCTAAACAACACTTTAACAAAAGACATTGTTATGCAAACTATACAAAGATTTTTATATAAAGATTTTTATATAAAGATTTGACTTATTATGCATACGTTTTTGAAGCCATTTAAAAAACTCGCAGGTCGTGTTTTTTTTTTTTGTTTTTTTTTTTGTCTAATAAAACACTCCTGCTCGTTTTTTAAATAGTACTTAATATCCTGTACCAGCCGTTCCGCACGTTGTAACCAATAATCTATTGGCGTTGTAATGCCATTTTGTATGCAATAAAGTCTTGGGTTGTAATGGGTCTACAATTAATCCAAACGTTAATCCAAATCCAAACCCTAATCCTAAACTAACCTCTAACCCCCACTCCCTAATCTCTAACCCCACCCCCTAACCTCTAACCCCCACCCCCTAACCCTAAAGTTGATGACCTTTTTCTGTACACTATGAAAATACAATGACGTAATCATCGGAATCTGCATAGCAAACTCAGACGAACTTTTATACGTATTTTTAAGCGTTTGATGCATTTTTAAGTGACTACACATATTTGCTGGACTGCCTATGGGGAGACACGCTCCAATGATATTCTTTAGTTAGCGTTCTTCTAACATGACCGCCATGACATCAAGTGCAAGCCAAGAATAATGTCAGATTAAGATTATTTCTTATTCTGGTAATTAAACTGTTTGGGTGTTTATCTTCAACTCATGTTAATTGTTCAAACCTAGATTACACCTCAATTCCATGGGTTCAAATTTAACCTGCTGTTTTAGTTTGTGTATTTCTAAACGCTGTCGATGTAAAAACATTAGAAATCAAAGACAAGGTTTCTGGAAAAAATAATTCCATGTTTAGCCGGAAACAAGCAATTGCGAGTGGCAGTGTTGAGATGTTTGCTCTGTTTAATGTCACCCTAGGATTAAGCTATAAACCAACTTTTGAACAACTACCCAAAGAAGTTCAAAATGACTCAATTCAAGTAAAGCAGACGAATTTTTTTACAATTCAATTTTATAAAATACAACTCTATCATATTCATAATTCTTGTATTATTTCTATATATGTTATACTTTTAAATAAATAACTTTGTATAAATTGTCTAAAACTCAAGCCAGGGTTAGCAGAAACATCGTCAACGTAGCCATTATTATAAAACGCTCACTAAATGGAAACAAATAGCCAGAGGTTTGCACGCAGAAGTCATCGAAACACTAGAAAGTTTTCATTGCCACAGTACGATTCTGCGAGTTGTTTTCCGAGAGGAGTCGGATCTGAGAATGCCAGCAATTCTTTGGAAACCACTCCGCCAAATATAAAGTTATTTCTAAATACATCAAAGTATTAGCAAGCTTTCCATTAAGTTCAAATTGTTACTGTAAATGGAATACAAAACATTTAGGCTTCGGATCGGTCTGAAAGGAAAATCTCGATCAGATCCTTCCATTAGTATAGGGACGGAAATTCTGGTCTGATCTTTCGGGCCATTAAATGGAAAGCGCATTTAAATTATGTAAAGAAACGTATTTATTACATCAACCATCTCCATGAGCACAAACATTACCATTACATCACTATCATCATTATCATTACCATCCAGGATCACTACCATCATCACCATCATCACCACAACGGCATCATCACCAACCACCATCATCACTAGAACCCGCCATCATCACTACAATGGAGCTTCGGTGGCGAAGCGGTTAGCGCACCTGCCTTTCATCTCTGAGGTCACAGGCCCAAATCTCAATGAGAACTTTCTCAGTGCGACTCGGACCCAGTCCCCATGTGAAAAGAGTAAAAACGCTCTGCCGAAAGTCGTGGATTCCCTCCGGCTACTCCAGTATTTCCTCCCACAGGGAAAGTTGACAGGGTGGGTTAGATAAAAAGGGCCCACCGTAATTGGCATATGCTGTTGTGGTTACCCTGCTCTAGTTGGCAAAAGCAAAATAAATAAATAAATAAATAAATAAAACAATCATCATCATCACTACAACCACCATCATCACTGCAACCATTATTATCACCATCAATATTCGTCATCACAATCACCATCTCAACCATCATTCCGGTCATATGCTGTTGTGGTGATCCTGCCCTATTTGGCAAAAGCTAAATAAATAAATAAACCAATAATGATCATCACTACAACCACCATCAGTCCATCACCATTACAACCATTATTATCACTATCAATATTCATCATCACAATCACCATGAGGACACCAATACACCATCACAGTCATCACCACCGCAACTACCATCATCACCACCATCATAATCACAACCATCATCACCACGTATGTAAATTCCATACCTGACACAGTCCAATATCCTAGTAGCTATCCTCTTCCTTCTATACTGCTGTAGTACCCAGACCCTACTGATTCCACATTCGGCACGCACTGGCGCTGAGCTACAAAAGTAAAATAAGGTTAAATTAACTTTGTGCTGAACGGCAAGTGTAGCAGTTCAAACATATCAAGCTAACTTATTTTATACCTGCAGCACCAAGCACCTTGCTCCGAAGATTCAATTTTGTCTCCATTTGTTGTACATGGCAAAAGAGGAAATGCCTGAAATTTTGCAAATGAAATCTGATGTACTTCCCCGTCTTTTAGATTGAAAAATACCAGGGTCAGGGATGGATTTACTGGGCGGGGGGGGGTGCGGGGTCACACATCCCTAGCCCTGGCCAGAGGGGGTGCAGGTGGTGCTATTTTTCATGACAAAGCAAAAATATTAGAGACAAAATGAGATACAGTAATTTGAGTAATAACATGATGATAAGCGAACTGTGAACAACAACTACAATTCAAATACAGTAGACAAGCAAGACTTTGCAGTAGGCAAGCAAGTTGATGGGCGGGCGGCGCACATGACCGACACAACTCGGCACTAGACTAGAGGTGGCAGAGCACCCCCCTCTTACCAGATCATCCTGGATCCATCCTTGAAAAATACTTTTAAAGATTAAAAAAACAAAAATGTAAAACTAAACTGAACAGAACTGAATCGAACGGAACGAAACTATAAACTATTTCGGTCTGACTGAAGAGGAAAATTAAAACAAATCTGTGATACCTCTTGAATAACCACTGCAACAACACATCCGACCACTTTCTTGTCTGCAACGAACATATACGTCTGCAAAATAGAATACCAGAAATTATTGCTTGGATATTCAAGTCCGTTTCTTACTGCTTTCGTATTTACAACAATGAAGCTTGTTTGCACAGATAAAGTATTACAATACCTTGGAATCTTGCATTCTCATTGACGTCTCTGACGAGAAACCAAGCTCGTCATCAACTACAGTACGAACACTGGAAACCTATAAAATAAAAAATTCAAGTATAAAAAAATTGTTGCAAAGATCTCAAGTCAGCTTACAGTATTTCATTTTAACATTGACAGCATGCTTGTAAGCTTCATAGGTGATAGAAATTTATATGTTCAATTCTCAAAGTGCAATTTTCCAATTGGATTTTTTCAGGGACGGATCTACCGTGGGGGGCGCACCCCACCTAGTGGTGCCTAGCACAACCCTAAAAAATCTGCTAGACCATACATTTTCTACTTTTCGAATAGCGATTAGCGGAATTTATACTGTTAGCGCGTAATTCATTTGTGAGCTCACGAGAAAATACTCACAATGCTTTGGTTAAATATACTGTACTTTAACATAAAATGCGTATCTTGTGGCATCATTGGCATGCATTGTACAGAATCATATATTGCTTACTATATTGCTAACTTTAGCTTAAGTTTTCATTATTTAATATGACAATTTTTTCATTATTTAATATGACAATTACGTTATATGGATGTGATTGCATGCTTGCCACTTGCTCCTATAAGCAATGGTCGTGAATTGTGATATTTGGTACAAGACTTTTATAGGTCTTTCTGCTCCCCACCCAGTGTCCGCCACTGGAATCAACCTTGCAGTGAGAAAACCGCAGTACTTAAAGAAAATCTGCGGTGTTTACACTGGAAGCACTCTTTTCAACTGCAAATTATTGGGTCAGTAATAAACTGCATACAAACGCACGTTTCCTGCAAAACTGACCTTTTTTAAATGGGATGGTGGATCTTGAGGTAGAACAACAATGACTCGACCGTCGTCGAAATGTTCAACAACACGTTCGGTCTTCCAGCCCTGAAAATGTAACAAATCAAATATTGTCTGACAACTAACAAAATATCAGACATCTTACAAAATATCTGATAGGCCAGTAACAATGAAACAGCAATTTGAAATTGACATTTTACAAAATATTTACGGACATCTGACAGTTGAAATACCGACTGCTGATTGCCGATTATTTCAGTTCCAATTAATCGGCTTATCTCTGGGAATAGTGTAGAGCATTGTCGTGGTGCAAAGATGTCTTTTCCCATCTTCTCAGGAGCCCTAGGAGAGGAGCCCTAGCCAGAGTTCTGTCATTTTTGAAGGTATATATTCCCCGAAGCACGCCTAATCAATACAGAGTGTTTTTGTCTTTGCCCTTACTCTTTCTTTATCACTTTATACATTGCAGTTCGACTACATATATTATCTAGAATTTGTTATTAGATATGCGCGGTAAAAGTGCGCAATGCAAAACTGATGAATCACCTTAAATCGAAGTCCAGAGACGACTGTATGATGAAATTTAACATGATAAGCTTCGTCTTCGGGCTGAGCGCTGGTATAGACCATGTTACACGTTGGACATGTTATGTGACCAAAGTTCTTTTGACCAAGATCCTAAAAATTTGAAAAACATGTTTGGTATTGTAAATGCGAATTGCCCTGTTGCAAAGAATGGTACAGAATGCTGATCAAGTTGGGAAGCGGAAGTTTGCAGAAGAGTTTTCTCGCTTCGGTCAAATGAGAACAAGAGTTGCGTGAGAATTTATGAGAGTTGACTGGATATTCCACGACGAAAACTTTCATCAGCTCTCATCAAAATTTGAACCAGCTTAAGGTAATTCCGCAGTAATTGTTCCCGAAATGAGAATGTGCTGAAACTTCCCAGGCATGGAGTTTATGATATACTTAAAGTAAAATCACACAAAAAAGTGGGGGTCACCGAACTCGTTAAGAAGATATGACAATCACAATATACCACCTTTACCCCAATATGGCGCCATCTTGACGGAATGACGCTCATTACGAGTAACAGCAAAAGCACAACAACCCGATATTTATTGACGTTTTTAGCGCGGATTTTGCTTTAGTAAACCTATCTTGTAATTATTTTTGAAAAAATATTGTGTTTTGAGCAAATTGAAACTACTAACGTCTAACGTGTACAATTCTGATCCACAAATGTCTTTTCCACATTTCTTTACATATCTTTCTTTGACTGACATGCATTGATAAAATATTTTTTTTCAAGATCCAGAAATAATTTTTCTTTTAATTTCGGATATTATATGTAAAATGCATCAAACAAATAAATTATCAGTTAAAAAACGGGGGTCACCGATCTTTTTAGGGAATTGTGGCATTAAAACGTGAAATACAAGTAAATTAATATACTACAGACACAGGAACCCTAGCTACACTTTTGTATGCCAATTTTGAAAACATTGATTTTGACGAAATTCTTTGCACGAATGTAACCAAAGATGTTTTGAAGTAACATAAAATTGTCATAAAATGATTTTTTTAAACGGTACGTATATAATGGATGAAATTATAAGTTATAAGATGTGCGCAGTAAAAGTGCGCAATGCAAAACTGCGGAATTACCTTAAATGATGATGAGAGTACATGAGAATCCACTAGAGTTAAAACTCGCGCTTGGTCAGGTCACAGAATAGGAAGTTATACCAGAAGCGTAACTCTAGTCGTTTCCCTTATTTTTTGACGTCCACGAAAATTTTAACTCGCTCACGTCAATCCACGCCATCCTGGCTAGTACAGCCGGAAGTTTTTATCAGGATTTGGTAGGTACAAAGTGCCGGTTGTACTAGCCAGGATGGCGTGATTGATGACGAATCGCTTGTAAAAACGCGGACAAATGTTTGCTCGAGTTACGCTTCTGGTATAACTTCCTATTCCGTGGTCAGGTCTAGGGCCACCATACGACCCTTGTTGATCACGGAGAACAGTGAAGGTTGAAAAGTTAATTTTTGGTGAAATTCTGACGTGAAATTCAAAAGGTGAAAAGCCATCGAAGCACAAGAGAAAATCAAGCACAACTCTGTACAGGGTAGTTAGCCAGGGTGTTGTTAGCCAGAAGGTTAAAAAAAATTCGGCAATTTAATGAAACTGGAAATTTCAGTTAGCCTGCGACATTCAGACCGGAGTTAAGGAATATCGTGTTTCTGAAGTGACGTTCTTGTGGCCTAGCGGCTAGCGCCAGCTTAGCTAAATTGAAACTTTTGAGGTGCAAGTCACCTTTTTTGCGTACTAAAAACAGACAAATATATATTTTAAGCACCCAATTTCTCCCATTTTTTCTTCAAAGTTAAACAATCTTTTACAAATATAATAGTTACGTTTTTGGCTAATCTAAATTGTGAAATTGCTGGCTAAACGTAATTGTAAAAACTGCGTATATAACGCCCAATTAATGACTGTAGCTAACACACTGTTAGCCATTGAAGTACATGCATTAAATGATTTACGGTGTAGATTGTATTTAAGTCTGATTTATGGTGCAGATGCATGTTAATTACTGTGGGATCTGTGGGGTCATTATTCTCGCTACAGAGGTAGCAGATATATGTCCTCTGCAATGATGGCTTCGTTGAATATCATGAGTGTCTAAATCATAAATCATCAGGCTAATTTAATCATAGTGTAAGCATCGATCCGGCTTAATTTTGCTACAATAATTACCAGAAACATTTGTTCTTTTTTGTTTGATACTGGTGAGCCTGATGGCGATGTAACTTTCCTGAAATGATCAGAAAGAAACTAATTTAAAAAGGTTAGACCTTCACTGCATCTCTAAAAGAACAGTTTTGAACTAATTAGATTGAGCTATCCAGTGTAAATAAGTTTAGTTTAGTTTAGTTCAGTTTAGTTTAAGTCAGTTCCTCCTTTAGTAACACTGGATCTTACTGGACCTCTAGGGAGAACAGTTTAGAACTGATAGAGCTATCCAGTATAAATAAAGTTATTTTAGTTCATGTTTCCTTCGGTAGATACAATGGACCAACATAAGATGGGCCTTACTGGACCTCCAGGGAGAACAGTTTAGAACTGTTAGAGATATCCAGTATAAATAAAGTTAATTTAGTTTAGGTTTAGTATAACACTGGAAAAATATGAGAAGGCTCTTACTGGATCCCGTACTGGAGGTCAGTTTCAAACTATCCAGAATTAATAAATAGATATCTTACCTTCCTTTCATCTGCCGTTTTCCTTTCTTGTCGAAAGTTGGAGATACATTATTACTCTTCAAAATTACGACAGAACTGCTTTTTCTTAGCGGAGTAAAATACTTCATTATGCTGCTTTGAGACTCGGGTGAAATTGATTTACTCTTTGACGACCCTGAATAGCCAGTCGACGTACTGCTTTGACTAGTCAACAAAGGACTTGTGTCCACACTGGAACAGTTCAAGTCTTCTTGAGAAGACAATTCACCTAAGATCCTAAACGGCTCGTGAAAACCAGAATCTTTTAGTTTTTCGTTCATTTTTGATGTTCGTGTATTTTCTACGAAGACGAAAGCATCTAAGGAACCCATTTTCTTACGTGGACTTCGCCGTAACGTTTTGTTGTTTTGTGTTG